CTGGTGCTACAGAATCACAAAGAACTGTATCAAATAACAGAAACCAAATCATTTGAGGACTTTTAACAGTAGCAAAAGCTAAGATTTAAATCAAAAAGAAAAGAGCCTTGTCAGGTGAAGACTTTCATAGGGATTTGAGTGAATGAAGTGTATGGGTCTTGGTAAAGACTTTCTTTGAACGTTGTGGACTGGCACTACAAAATCACAAAGAACTGTACCAAATAACTGAATCCACATCACTTGAGGACTTCCAACAGTGAAAATGGATAGCACATGCAACTCTAAGAAAATAATGATATAACCAACATGTTGAAATTCCATATTACTTACAATAAAAGGTTCTACCCCCCACCATCTGTACGTGAAAGAGTGATAACAGCTACTGCACTTAAGAAACCTGATTTCCTGAAAAATTGTTTTAAGAGAAATATTTTATAAATTTTAGTCGACAACACTATTGGCTGCTCTGTCGGTGAATGCCAAATGTTTCCTTATAAGGAAATAGCTAATATTACCATTGAAACTTGTACTTGAATAACATGGTACCAACATGATGAATAGTTAAAATGGCTTTGAACAAACAAAGCCTATAGTTTTTAGCAAGGACCATACTTCTTGGAACTTTGTGGACTGGCACTATAGAATCACAAACAACTGTGCCAAATAACAGACACTCTATCACTTGAGGACTTTCAACAGCAGAAACAACTAAAATGGATAGGAGCATGTAACTCTAAGAGAAAATAACGACATAACCAAAATGTTGACATTCCACACTGCTTCAAATAGAAGGTTAAGAAGGAAACCCCCATCAATACTGGAAAGAGTGACAAAAGCTACTGAACTTGAGAAACCTGAAGACCATCCTTCTTTGAACCTTGTGGACTGGTGCTACAGAATCACAAACAAAGAACTGTACCAAATAACAGAACCCACATCACTTGAGAAATTTCAACAGTGAAAATGTATAGCACATGCAACTCAAAGAGAAAATAATGACATGATCAAGATACTGACATAACATACTATTTCAAATAAAAGTTTAAGAAGGAAAGAGTTATAACAGCTACTGGACTTGTGAAACCTGTTTGCCTGAAAAAACTTTTTTAAAAGTAAGATTTTACAAATTTCAACTGACAACAGCACAAGCTTCTCGGTCAGTGAATGTCAAATGTTTCCTTATAAGGAAACAGCTATTACATTTACCTTAATTCCTGGAGATATGATCCTTATTAATTGTGGGAGTTTTAAAATGTTGTTCTTTCCTGTAACTATACTTAATATCATGTCTTTTAAGGACATAAGTGAACACGACTCTCCAGATTGTTTTGCATTATTATCAATGAATTGCTATGTCATATTGAGAAATATAATGCAGTAGTATCTCCTTAGTTTCTCCATGGTTTGCAAGTCAGTTTTCCTTCTCATAGACTGGTTGCCACCCAAGGCTAGAGGGCAAAATCTACCCTGCTATTTATCCCTTTGCCACATAGGTGATCTTTGCTCTCCACATTATTTTATTATCTTAGTATTGCTCTACCTTCTTGGGAAAGAGAGTAGAATGGTTTCCCCATTTCCTTCTCTGTAGTTTGGAATTGTGTTTTCGTTCTTAGACTAGTTATCAACCAAGGCTAGAAAACCTAGTCTACCCTGCTATTAACCTATATTTGCAGGGAGATGAAAAGAGATGGATTTGTCATTCCAAAGGTTATTAATGCAAAAGCAAATGCCACAGTCTTGGCCAAAATTTGAATGTCTTTGCCGATTCAACTGACCCAAAAGCCATTGGTCAGCCACACTTTCCATCTAGACATACATTTCATTAAAGCTAATTACATATTTTAAAAGTACACAAAAACATTTTGGCAATGTTTAATCATTGTGTCTGCAATAAAAGACATATCAAAAGGACAGTTATTGATTTAGTCAACTACTCAAAATGTCCAATCCTAGCAATCGGCTGTAGTACTTGGCCTTGGATATTGGGACAGGTAAATCTTTGGGGAGGCTGAATCTTTTATGGCATTTAAGTCTTTTTCTCTGCAATTTGGTTTTATTATACAAAATTCTATACTGTGCGTAGTGTCATGGTAATTGGCACAGGACATGGGTTTGGTTTATTTTTTATGACATATCAACCTCTATGGGTTATTTAATGCTGACAAGATTCTTAAGATAGATTCATATGAACAGAATATGTATTCTTTGTGAAAGATCAGTTTGTAGATCAAGTTTCATTGATTGTAAAGATGGTTTTTGTCGATAGCTGGTAATTACTTCTTTTTCTTTCTTTCTTTCTTTCTTTCTTTTTTTTCTTTTTTTTTTTTTTTTTTTTTTTTTTTTTTTTTTTTTTTTTTTTTTTTTTTTTTTCTTTTTTTCTTTTTTTTTTTTTTTTTTTTTTTTTTTTTTTTTTTTTTTTCTTTTTTTTTTTTTTTTTTTTTTTCTTTTTTTTTTTTTTTTTTTTTTTTTTCTTTTTCTTTTTTTTTTTTCTTTCTTTCTTTTTTTTTTTTTTTTCTTTTTTTTTTTTTTCTTTTTTCTTTTTTTTTTTCTTTTTTCTTTTTTTTTTTTCTTTCTTTCTTTTTTTTTTTTTTTTTTTTTTTTCTTTTTTTTTTCTTTTTTTCTTTCTTTTTTTTTTTCTTTCTTTTTTTTTCTTTCTTTCTTTTTTTCTTTCTTTTCCTTTTTTTTTCTTTTTCCCTTTTTTTCTTTTTCCCTTTTTTTCTTTCTTTCTTCTGTCTTTTCCTTTTTTTCTTCTGTCTTTTAAATGTATTGCTGTGTATTGCTGATATTTTTACTACTATAAAAATCTATTTTTATACTTTCATAATGTTTTGACACCAGTTTGGGGGGGGTTAACTATTTGCCCATATCTGGGACCTTAAGAGGTGGTTCCACCCCTCTCAAAACCTGATCAGAGCCCTTGCTGCCAGATGTAGTTTATCATCATACCCAGGATGTGGGATCGAGAAGCTGATTCTACTGTAATCTACTGCATTCATTGACATACATTCCTTTTTGCACAAGCTATGGGTTAAATAGCAGGATAGACGCTGCTCTTTGAATTGCAAGCCATAGAAAAGGCAATGGGAAACCTCTCCACTATCTTTCCAAAGACGACATGTCAATTCACAGATATTGAAAAAATAGATCTGCAGAGAACCATAATCCCCCCCCCCATCCTGAAGTGACATGGAATTTAAGATAATCCTGCAACATATGAAGCAAAATTCAGTTATTTTTTCATTGTTTTCTAGACATAATTGACCCAGCTATCCTGCGGCCTGGCCGAATGGATAAGATATTGTATGTTGGTCTTCCTTCTGCTGCTGACCGTTTGGACATTCTTAACACAATAACAAAGGTTTGTCATTGTTTTTTGTATTTTTTGTTTCCTTCTCTGTGGTTTGTAAAGTGTGATGCATGGGGTCCAGGGGATGGGGGTAACCATCAGGAAGTTTGGAATGAAATGTTTAGCTATTTACACTATTTGGACTGTTGTCCTCATCTTTACTGTCACATCCACAACATTTTTGGCCATTGTACACACTGGCTTTTTTTAGCATCTGTCTATATTTCTGAGATGAGGTACTGTAACTATTTACATTGTTTAAACTGTTGTCCTCATCTTTTTCTTGTGACATTCAACAAGTTTTGGCCGTTGTATGCTCCGGCCTTCTTCAGGTGATATTGTTTTGAATTTTGAACCAAACCCTTTATTTATTTAATCCAAAAAGTTGAAGAGTTATCAAGGAGAATTAACTAAAAAAGCTGATATATCCAGAGGAATGGTACGTGGAATTGGAACAATCTATCTTCATTGAGCGTTGGGAGATTTTTGCAGAGTTACTTGCACAAAAATTGTGGACTAATAACTATTTATTTTCACTGATGAACAAATGGATGCACACACATACATTTATTAATTTATTTCTTGTTTAAAAGATTTCTCTAGAATAAAACGCATAAAAATGCAGATATCAATTATGTAAGCATTATTTCGACCTTGATGTTTGTAAATAAAAACAAAGTGTAGATAATTCTTTAAAAAGTCAGGTGTTGATTTGATAGTGTATTCATATTTTAACAGGATGCTACTTCTAAAATAAGAAAAGCCAATATTTTGTGATTTTTAAGAAGTTGTGATGAATGCTAATCTAGAAAAATTATCAAAAAAAAATTCTTCCTTTTTTTTTTTTTTTTCCTACATGTGGGACAGTTAATAGAAATGGTATCTTGAATCCTTTTCTTTAACATGTTCTTCATTTGCTGCAACATCCCTCGAAATTGAACATACACTATCCGTTCAAAAATTATTTGGCTTTTTAATATTAATGAAACATACCTTGCCCCCCCATCAAGAACAAGGAAGCTCTTCACATTTGAGTATTGGCCACGAATATGCAGGGCCCAATGGATAAATTACACAAAAATAAAAATAACACTGACTGATATAGTTACCAAAATTACACAAAAATCTCTTAAATATCTTAAAATACTAAAGAGTAAATTTATCCAATAAAATTGCCATTGGCTTCAACCATGGCCTCACCATTTGATTGACAAGCTAGAAAATATTTTGATTTTCTTAGATATTAATCTTGCTGTAAAGTCATATACAGAAATTATTCAGCTTTTTAATATTAATGAAACGTACCTTGCCAAGGGGGAGAGGCAATGGCACCTTGGTCCTCTTATGAATTGAATCCCAGGTTACCAAATATGACACACCTGAAGAAGGGTGGAGGGTTGAATGTCCAAAGTTTTGTTGTTTTGCATCATACCAGTTGATTTTAATTCAATATAGAGCCAATGACAACCTGAAACCATTTTTCTGTCCATGCTAAGAGATATTATATCCCTGTCAATTCTTCTAAGTTAATTTTTCACCATGAGACCAAAGAATTAACAGATATCCTTTAGCCTTAACATCAGAATCAGAACACTTTGCAATGAATAAAGAATCAAGAATTCAAGATTATCATAGTCAAAACATTATCACAAAACCAGAAAAAATGAAGACGCTAGTCTGAATAGATTTTCAATCTAATTTCAATACATAGAGTGGAGACAATAAATTATCACCCCTCCTTAATCAAATACAAGGAAGTTCTCCATATTGAGTTTGAGCATCAACCACTAATATACAATTGTCGTCTAAATTACACAAAAATGAAAATAACGCTGACATCTCATTTTAACAGATATATTTATCAAAATTACACAAAAATATGTTGAAACATTAAAGAGTAAATTTATGCAATAAAATCACCATTGGCTTCAACCATGGCCTCACCATTTGATTGAAAAGCTAGAAAATATTTTGATTTACTTAGATATTAACCTTGCTGTAAAGTCATATACAGGGTGCAATGGGTAAATTGTCGCCATCTTATATTTTTAATTTCGGGCATGAACGTTGTTTGTTTTTGTTGACTGCATAGACAGAAAGCAATCGATTAATAACAATGGTGAGGACAATAGTCCAAATATAAATAATGATAACTGCTCATCCCTGAAATTCAGACAGAAGGTGATCAGGTGGTAACAACAAAGATGAGGATATTAGTCTGAATGTAAATAATGATAACTCCTCATCCCAGAGATTCAGACAGAAGGTGATCAGGTGATAATAACAACAAAGATGAGGATATTAGTCTGAATGTAAATAATGATAACTCCTCATCGCAGATTCAGACAGAAGGTGATCAGGTGATAATAACAACAAAGATGAGGATATTAGTCTGAATGTAAATGATGATAGCTCTTAATCCCAGAAATTCACATTGACTCAATTTTATTATTTTTAATCTTCCTAATTTGTCGTTCTCATGATACCAAAGAATTAAGTGATAGAAAATGTGAGAATAATCTTTGCCCTGTGAACTAAAGAAATCGTTCAATTCTAAATTCTTGGATGGTTACCAAATACAATAGGTACCTAACGAGTGTTAGAACATACAACTGAAATGTTGGGTTCATGACAAGAAAGATAAAGACAGTAATCAAAATAAATCACTGTATAATGATTTTTGTTTTTAAATTCTTCAAGAGGTTGATTTTAAAAAAATAAATTTGAAAAAAAAAAAAAAGAAAAGTCACTTTTAATACAGAAACATGGTGAAAAGTAAACGTCTTGCAACTGAAGATTTTGTAACAAAATAAAAAAAAAAAAAAATAGATACCAATCTTGCATAACTATGGGATAATGTCTGCTGTCCACTTTTGTACCATGAAATTCTTTTTTTTCTTTGCAGAATGGTACGAAGCCTGCATTTGATGATAAAGAATTGCTCAAATACGTTGCCAGTGATGACAGGTGCCGTGGTTTCACGTAAGTTTTTCTTTACGCCTCTCGAATGTTTCTCTGAAAATTGTTAACCATGAATAATTAATTTATGATGCCGCTTGTGTGTATGATGAACCTAGTGTTTGACGTTAATAAAGCAACCTATTTTACGGCATATGAAACATATTTCTTTGAACACTTACTAACATTTTTTCTTCCCCTCCACTTTAAATACATACACGATTACGGACGTCCACAGCTTCTTTTTTCTTTCTTTTTTCTTTCTTTCCTCAAGAGCAGTAAACTGAATTGCAATGGTTATCTTCATATAAGACTGTAGTAATTGCCTGTTGACTTATTCCCAGTTTGAATTCAGAGTTTTCCTTCTCCAAGACTGGTTACCAATTAAGGCTGGAGAACTCAGTCTAACCTGCTATTTAACCCATATTGTATGTTCACCCTCTAGACCCACATTTGTGTGTCCAAATGAGAGAAAGAAATAGATGGAGTAAAAATCTACTGTTCATAGCACTTTTTTAAAAAGTGCTCAGTACAAAGTAGAGCAATATATTATTATTATTTTTATTATAAAAGATTATAATAAAAACATATTGAAATCGCTACATAAAAGCTTTCATGTTTCAATACTTTGGTTGTACTTCTTTAGGCAATGGTAAGTAACTGGTGATTAAATAATTTTTTAAGCAAATTTAAAAACAAATTGTTACATCTTTTCCGAAAACATAAGGTCAGAATTAAAATTGGACTTGTGGGTATGTCTTGATTAACCAATTGAATGTCAGATCCACGTTAAATAAAAAATATATATGCTTAGAGGTTGCAGGTGGTCAAGTTATTTTTTCATGTCATAATAAACTGGAACATATACAGGCCATCTGAGTTATATATAAATGCAAGTATCTTGGTTTATAAAAATGAAATGACATAGAGTACCAAATATATTTATTACATAACTGATATACAAGAGTTCAACATATTATCTAAGATTTGAATTTTATATGCCTTAGTGGGTCAATGGCTACAATCTCTCTACAAATGCTTTGTTTTAGTCCCACAGCTTTTCCCACTAAAACAAAGTATTCGTAGAGAGTTCATAGCTATATCCAGTTGATATGCTAAGCACAAGTGTTTGAGGATGAGAGGATGAGCTTGTTCTCTTCATTGTTGTGTCCGTCTCAGTAATATTCAAATCTTAGACGATATTATTAACTCTTGTATATCAGTTATGTAATGAATATATTGGGTACTCTGTCATTTTTATAATCCAAGATGCTTGTGCTTGTGTGTGTGTGTGTGTGTGTGTGTGTGTATATATATATATATATATATATATATATATTATATACATATACACACACACACACACACACACGTCAAATGAAAGGTACCTTAATTTTTAATCGAGACAGTACTTTTGTGTCAGACATTTTGATTAAAAAATGTTCCCTGTTTTAAGAATACTATTTAGATAGTGCAGCACTAAAAATCTTTTCACACACACACACATATATATATATATATATATATATATATATATATATATATATATATATCCACTGGCAGACTGTGTCACTGTTTCACCACTCATCAGTGTGGCTAGACATCCGATTGCCTCAAGCCAGGATCGGAACCTGACTGATTTGGTATCAGTTGGATATTTTATCCCCCAAGCCATTGACACACAGCAGAGATGGTGATATATTTTTAATCCAACATTTTGATTACATCAAATGTTATAATGGACACACCATGATTGAAATAGATGCTACATTTTTATTTATTAAACTATATGTATTACGGTTATCGGCCTGTGTATTTGAGAAATCTTAAAGAAAAAACACGTGCCCAGGAGGGATTGAACCCATATCCCTCTTTGTATATAAAACCACTATTTAATCCCTTGTGCTTTACCACTTGGCCAAGGAGAACAGTAACAATCCTGTTTAGTAGCCCTTTGCACTGAGTATCTCTTGGGCCTTGTGTTAGATGAAAGATGATAAAAAAAAAAATTTATCTATTAATGTTGCTGATAAATAATATTTATTTTTATTTTAGGGGTGCTGATTTGTCATCCTTAATCCGGGAGGCGAGTATAAATGCTTTAAGAGCTAGCATCACAGGTAACGTCAACCAAAAAGACTTACAAACAGGGTTGACGATCAACAGTGTCCACATAGAAGAGGCCTTCATCAAGGTGAAACCTTCAGTCACTATTAAGGTAAGAATTTGTTTGTTTTGCTCTCTTCCTAATCTTTTAACCTATTAACTCCCATCATAAGATCAAACATTAATTATAGGTTTATAAAGAAATCCAGTGTTCCTGCTGTTCATCTCGAGGTTCTTGACAAAATCCAAAAAAGGATCTGTAATCGATCCTGACTTAGCAACTTGACTTCAGTCACTTTCTTCCCAACGTGACGTGGCTTCCCTCTGTCTTTTCTTCAAATATTTTCCTGACAACTGCTCTGATGAGCTTTTCTCCTTGGTGCACTGACTGCATGAATTTAAACGTGTTAATATATTGACATGTAGATCCCACTCTTTTATTATTCAAATAGCTAAACATAACCACCATTTCTACTCCAGCTGTTTCTCTTCTCGCACTTCCCATCTGTGGAACTCTCTTTCACTTACTTGTTTCCCCCGATAAGTACAATCTTCAAAAATTTAAATGCTACGTCAATCGCCATCTTCTGTTGCTTTGATCCGCCTCCGTTTTTTTTCCTTTCTTCAGTCCGCCTCGTCCACCCAGTATTTTCTCTCACTTTCTGTAACCACACCCCCAGCATGTTAGTGGCACTCACACCTTGCTTGGAGTAAAGTGCTTAAAAAAAATAAAATAAAATGACCTATGAATTTTCACTGTTCCAAAATGTGACAATAGACATTAATAGTGTTAAACTAACACAGAAATAGCATGAGTTTCTTCTTTTATATGCCAGGTAGGTGATCATGACTCTCCACAACATCCTGTTTTTTGTTGGTCAAAATAATTTTTGGCCATTTTCCAGCCATTGTCAGCATTTGTTCCAGTTGGTTGTTAGTGATTAGTGTCATCAACACCTCTATGGGTTATTTAATGCTGAAATCTAAATATTTAGTACATATTTTATTTTTATTATTATTGTTATTTGCGCTTAAGTGAATATAACAAACCTAACTGGAATTGGAACTCAGCTCTCCAGTTAACAATCTCAAGCCATTATCCATTGCACCACCTGCACATCCAAGCTTACAAGCACCTGGTATTCCCAAGCAGTCACCCATCTAGGTACTGACTAGGTTGCTTAACTTTGGTGATTGTACGGTAACCAGTGTTTCAATGTGATGTGGCCATAAGCCATCCATGGTCTGGTATCCATTCAAACTCATTCAGTAGGTAATCACGACTCTCCACAAGTTCCTGTCTTTTGTTGGTCTAAATAGTTTTCAACCATTTTCTATCCCACTTTGTCTTTGTTCTGGTGACCATTCACACAAACTTTTTAAGTAGATTAATCATCGTTTCCTCCACTTCCAGTATATCCTGTGAGTGTCAAATTCTCTAAGCATTCTTTTCTTATCATAAATCCCCTCCCCACCAAAAATTTTAAGAGCACCTTGTTGTGTGGTAGGGTTAGCAAGGCTAGTCCAGATGAGCTTTATTATTATTACTACTACTACTACTACCATTTTAGTCATTACTTGGTTCTTCCCTACAAAAATTCAATGTTCAGCAAATATGTCTTCCTCCCCCCCAAACACGGAAGCTTATATAACAAGTTGGTAAAAAATATGATTGCCTAATTCCATAAATACTTCATTTTACAACTCACTAGCTCCCCCTAGTGGACCTTATTTAACATTTAGCACTCTGCATCATTTATAAATATTGAATCCAATCAAAATATGTGTTATATATATATATATATATATATATATATATATATATATATATATATATATATATTAGTTTTATATATTTGAAATTCCAGTAGCTCGACTTTCAATTTCAGTTAGGATTGTTTTAGGTGTTGCCATAGGATATGGCTACACAAACAAGAAATTCAAATTTAACATTGGCAGTACTAACATTTTACTTGGCAAAAATAGTCACCCACAGAGTGCTAATGGTTTAAACAATTTTGGAGATGACATTAATTCAACAAAATAACTTCTATTTTGTGTCTGTATTGTTTGCCAATGTTTGATCTCAAAAGCATGGTTTTATTGTTATGTAATAACAACATGGAGTGAAAGTGAATTTATACTTTTTTATATATATATATATATAATTTACAACAAAAATATTAAATATTTTTTTCCAGTTATAAAAGTTAAACATTGCTGTTTGTGTGTCTAATGATCTGATACTGTCATTTCTATTTCAGGAGCATGAAAAATATGAAAAAATGAAAGCTCGGTTAAAATCCTGATGTGTTTCACAAGAAAGCAGAGATGATAAATAAAAATTTTACTGATTTATATATTTAATGTTTGATTTCAATTGTATCTTTTTTTGAATGCATGCATGTTTCCTCAAAGTTCTTGAAAGGCCCTGTCAGATCCAAGATGAGGATTCAGTCATCTCAACATACACTTTTTTTTTTTTTTTTTTTTTTTTTTAAACTATCATATTATCATCTTTTTCTATATATGGCCATGACGCATCAGGTGCACAGATTGACTGTTATGGCTGGCCTATCCTATTAAGTGACCTTGCGCTTTTCTTTTTTTTCTTTTTCCTCTTTCTCCTCTTTCTCCTCTTTCTCCGTTCTTTCCCTTTTTTCTTTCTTTCTTTTTTTCTTTCTTTCTTTTTTTCTTTCTTTCTTTTTTTCTTTCTTTCTTTTTTTCTTTCTTTTTTTCTTTCTTTCTTTTTTTCTTTCTCGTTTTCTTTCTTTTTCTCTCTTTAATACACTCTATGCCAAAAGATTTTAATTATGTAACATTCTCATTTCCAAATTTACACCTTATACTCATGTTATACTACACATTTCTACTTTCTGGGGATGATATTTCATCTCTAGAGTATCCCCATAAGATAAGATTACTTTATTTAATATTTATAGGTAAAATTTCATGTAATAATTTTACCACAAAAATCTATATAAGTATAAAACCAATTTCTAATATGTATAAGATGATAAAGGATATAAAATAGTCAAACATCAGCTTTTCAATAAACCAGTTATTTCATGTTTTGCTAATGTGACACTAATTGGGACACGCACATAGAGAAGTTCATGCAATTTTATCTCAGTCTCAAATGTTTTGTGTTTAATGGCTGACTGATGAGGTCTTTGAAGTTGAGTCTTCTAAATGGCTCTCACTTGACTGAAGAGGAACAAAAGTAACAGATTTTGGGATCAAGCGACAACAAACCAAACAGTTATGATTTCTGGCTGCTGGTGTATATTCACATTTCGGATTGAAGTAGTCATTCTGGTGCTGCCTGTTTGTGTTGCCAGCCACACCCTGTACGGTGTTAAGGTGGGCAAAGAGTTGGTAGGAGGAAGAGCTGATATGGCAGTTGTCCCAAGAGTCTCTACCTCCCCTCCTAGACTGAGCAAGCAAAGAGCCCTGAATAGACACCTAAATATTATTGAAAACTGAAACCTCATGATGTTTGTTTTCATCTTTCATTTTCTTATGAGCTTGAAGTGGACCTTTCCCAGGATTATGAAGCACACTAACATGAATAAGAATTGAGAGACAATGTGGAGAGAGGCCATTTGCTGGTTGGCAGAAAGCTGATTTAGGGTCTTGTTTAAGTAAGTTGGTATGACTTGGGATCATATATAGATTAGAATCCAGCAGAATGATAGGATAAGAAACAAATAGGAAACATCAGTTTGACATGTTTTGCTTTTATTGAAGCTTCATCAGAGAAAAGAAAATTCTGGTATTTTTTATTTTTGTGTTCTTTGATTTTCATTGGTTAAGTAAACCTTGTGTATTTGTCTTGTCGGATATGCATTCATGTGTATACTTCATATATTCAGATATGCGTTCATATGTATGTATATACATCATTTAACCAGATATGCATTTGTGTATATAATTTCTTTATGTTTCTGGAATTTGGTTGATAATGTGGGCATTTGTGTGCCTTGTGGGCATTTTTATTTCTGTCTTGTAGTTGTCCATATGTTGGTTGGGGTTTTGTGTGAGTGAAAAAATTTAGGTTACACTTGTTTTGGTTGTAGGTCTTTAAGTATGGATTATTTAAAAATTAGTGATGGGGAATATTTATCAGGATTCCTTCTAAATATTTTCTACATAATAAATTATGTTCTTTTCTTATTAGGATGGTATTTATTAAATGAAAGTTATATCCTGTTTTCTTTCTATGTGTTACAAGTGATTTCAAAGGGTTGTACCAACATAGGGCTCTTATGTGAGCTTTTAGAATTCTGCATGTTTCACCTATATATCTCTTGTGGCAATGCAGGCATTTTATATTATATACCCTGGCATCTGATGTGGTGTTGGATCTGTTTCTTGCTAACTAAATAAGTTGATATATAATGTCATATTCTTATATTGCTGAGCAGATTTATGGAAACTTGTGCAACAGAGCATCTTTTAAAGAAATAAGATGAATTTGCTACTTCTGTCTTGTGTTAATTACTTTACTGCAATAACCCGTTCTGTTCAGTTATTAAGAATTGACAAAATTAAACTCTACCCACCAATTAAGATCAGAAATTCCTTCTTCCAACTGGGATGATTGGATTAAAAACACTATGTGGAAAAGGATTTTTAGAGTTGATTGTGCTGGAAAATTCTTAAGTCATTTCACAATATCCTGTTCTTAGTAGTATAGAGACAAATTTAAAGGATTTAAATCAGGCCTGTACATAGTATAAACCATAGGGTGAACACATGACCCATAAGACTAGTCAGTGTGAGCCCCCAAAATAGTAAAAAAAAAATTTTTTGTGACTACCTGAATAAATTCAGTGACTGATCATGTATGAAAATTTCACTTTTGTGGAAGGCAGACTTTATTTAGGCATTAATCTGTGGGATGCATCAGTGTGTTTGCACCATCTTTTTTCACTCTGTAATTTACACTGTGGTCAACAACTGTGTGATACATTATTTTTTTCAATGAGGCTAGCTTGATTTATATGCTTGTGAAAAAAAAAAAAAAAACTTTTATTCCACTAGTGCATTAGGATTTTATTTCCAAATACTTTCAGTTGAGAAAAATGTACTTTTAGACCAGTGATGGGAAAACTTTTCATCGCAAGGGAAATTAAAAGAATTCCTAATTTTATCGCGCCACATAACCCAAAATAATTAATATTTGAAAATAGACAAAAAAGACTTTTAAAGAAAAAAATGCAGTGAAGATTTACATGAAACACATTTGAAAGACAAAAACTTTTTTCTTTATTTTTTTTTTTTTTAAAAAAAATTATTTTTATTATTAATATCATAAGGTCAAAACATATTTATTTGAAAAAAGAAAGTAAATCTGTGTAAAGAAATAAAAAAATTCATACGAATTAATATTTTAAAGTAGAAACTTCAAATAAAACACATATAAAGTAACTTAATTTAAAGAAAAAATTAATTTACTTTTTGAAGTCGAAACTTCACATGAAATAGATTTGTTTGAAAACAGTAATTCAGTTTAAAGAAAAGATAATTTTTGATATTTTGAAGTAGTAACTTCTGAAACAGATTTATTTGAAAACAAAGTAATTCACTTTCAAGAAGAAAAAAAATTATTGATATTTTGAAGTAATTACTTCACATGAAACAGATTTATTTGAAAACAAAGTAACTCGGCAACAGAAAGATCTCAACGAGAATAATATATCTGACTGCAGTCATTTACTATTTTGTTAAAATGAGGCCTCAAGTTGTTTTTGCTGATCCTCAACACTGACTGAAGATTCAAGTCTGTGAGATGTGACTTGACTTTGATTTGTAACTTTCAATATGGATAAAGTCTGTACACAAATGTAAATTGATGCAAACAACACAAACATCTTTCTTGCAAAATTTTTCATCAGATTTTAAAACTTTTCTGAGTAGAGAGATGCATAAAACCCATACCAGTGGTTTATTTTCAAACAGTCTCTTTAATGAGTTGTCAACTTGTAAATCAATCAATTCCACCTGCAGTTCTTCAGTAGGTGTTTCAAGGTCACAGGCAAAAGGGGAACTGAGCAAATCAAACTGGCCTTCAGTTACCTTGAAATCAGCAAATCTTCTTATAAATTCCTCTTTTAAAGCCATCAGCTAGGAACTGTACTTGTCTGATAATGCTTGTGTTAACAGCTCATATTTTCAACAGAGGAAAATGAACAGTTTTGTTTTTTAAGCTGCTTGGCAAAAAGTTTGTTTTGTTGGAAAGGCTTTCACATCCACATACAATTCATGAGCAAATGCCTTGTAGTTTTGTGTTTAACTCTCTCAGCTTTTGCATAATGTCTACAGCAGATTCAAAATCATAAATCCATTCGTCGCTCTCCATTTCCTTTGAAAATCACAAGAGATTTCTTTTATGTTAAAAACATGACAATCTCTGCTTTAACATCCCACACCCTCTTTAAGTACTTTTCCCATGCTTAACCAGCAAACGTTTTTCAGTAAAATCTGCTTTGATGTCTTCCAAGAAACTTTGGAATTGCCTGTGTTTCAGTTCTTGTGCTCTTACTGAATTCGCTGCCCACACCACTGGATCCATAACATGTTTGAGTTTTAAAGAAGACTTACAGAGGCTTTCTTAATGTTTGATGCAGTGAAAAGACAACACATCCTTTTTGATTTTTATCATTCATCAAGGTCACAATGCCATAATGTTTTCCTACAAATGAAGGAACACAATCAGTTGTAAAACTTGCCAATTTATCCAGGCTTAATCTACAGACTGTTAATGACACTGTTGTACAAATCTTTTCCAGTAACAGTGTCTTTGAGAGACTCAATAGATAACAATTCCTCTGCAAGTTCAAAGTTTTCATCAAATCCTCTGATCAAAATAAGTACCTGAGCAGTAGCCTGAAGGTCAGTACTCTCATCTAAAGCAATAGAAAACCACTGAGGAGGCATGGTGGAGTAATGGATAGCAACTCGGATTGAGGAATTGGAGAGCCGAGTTCAAATTCCAGTCAAATCCATTACATTCACTTACATGCTAATACCCTTGGGAAAGGTATGAATCCTCTTCTTCACACCCCCCCAAGCCCGCCATGAGTAAATATCAGAACAGACCAGGTTCTATAGCCTTGGATGGCAACTGGTCTACTGCGGAAAAAGATACATGATCGCCTAAGCGTGTATCACTCATGGCACATAACTGACTGAAAACTACCACTGGCTGTTTGAAATAAGATAACTTTGAAATTACAGAGGAATTGTTTTCGTCAATTCCTCTGATGTAAATAAGTACATGAGCAGTAACCAGAATGTCGGTACTCTCATCTAAAGTAATAGAAAAGCACTGAAAACTAAAACTGGCTGTTAACAGCTGTTATTAAATATTCACTGCAATTGCATCTAGGCAGCAAACAATAGTTCTTCGTTACAGAGCTTCTACTTTTGATTTAACTTCTGGACACACAAACATGCAGTCTTTAATAAATTCTGCTCCTGCAAATGACTTGTTTTGCTTTGCAATTTTATTTGCCAATACAAAACTTGCCTTTGTCACATTCCTTTGTAAAGATGAAGTTTTCTCAAACACAATTTGCTGTTGCTTCAAAGTTTTACCAGATCAGTTGCCTGCTTTTGCAGTTCTTGCTTTTTATAAATTGTGCCCAAATTTGGTGGGCTTGGTTTGAAAGTGCAGTTTCAAATTGTATTCTTTGAACACAGCAACTGTTTCATGACAGCTTTAACTCCAACGTCAGTAAAGAAATACCTTTCATTCCACTCTTTGTTAAACACTCAACATTCATCTTCAAGTTTTTTGCTTTTTAGATAGCTTTGAATAAGATATTTTGGGTACAGTTTGTAAGATAAAAGCTAGGCTAAAATAAAACAACCCATGTCTTAACTCTTTGCCATCTGCCAGGACACTGTAATGATTCAAATGAAAGGTAATAAAATCATTGGCCCAGTAACAAAGTTCCCAAATTAGCCATTGTTACAAACTTAAGCTTGAGTTGGGAGTCACTTGCCCTTTGTGAAGACCTTCAGTGTCTGTAACCTTTTGATCAGCACTCTCCCATGCAGACCTGTGGGAAGAAAACAAAATGCTCACAATATTATTTGGTGTTGCTTGGTAACTTTCTCTTTCAAATATACTAACATTTGGTAGGCTGCATGAATTCTTTTGGTGAGGCACATGTGGCCTGCAGGCCGTAGTTTGCCCACCCCTGTGTTAGACAAACAACTTATTTCCTATTAGATTTTTTTTTTTTTTTTTTTTTTAAAAAAAAAAAAGAAACCTTTTAAGTTGGTTAAAGTTATCTTTTTACATTGCCAAGCGGGTTGATGGAGACACAAGTAAAAGTATATGCTTGAAGAAATAAGATTTGGTATGAAATTGCCTGAGAGTCCGATCTACCCTACTATTTAACTGTTTTTCTTTTTTTTTAAATATCACTTTCCTTCAAAATATGGTTGATTATGGCTCTCCACAGAGTCCTTTTCTTTATTATTGTGACTTGCCATGACTTTTTGAGAAAGATAGTGGAGCACTTTCCCATTGTCTTCTCAAAGTAATATTTCTAAAAAAATGCCTTGTCCATCAGAACATAGGTAATCATGGCTCTCCACAGCCTCTTTTTTTATGTGAACTGCCTTGCATTCTTTTGGGAAGATTATGGATTGTTTTCCCATTGTCTTCTCCACAGTTTGATATTCAAAGCTTTTCCTTCTCTTAGATTGGTTGTCAGTCAAAGCTGGAGAACCTAGACTACCCTGTTTTTGTGATTTACTAAGTCTAACTCAGATGTGGCACAAGGCCAAAAGTATGGGACACCCAGTGATGATCAAACTCACTAATCAGTTGTAATTGATCTAACAAAACGAGCTTGTTAACCATTACAATGTACTGAAGTGCCCATCTACCCTGTTAACCAATTTTTTTTTTTTTAATACCATGTCCTTTAATGCTGTCGTCAGTCATGATTTTTTTTTTTTTTTTTTTTATTATCTGTGAATGGTCATGAATTATTGGGAAAGATGGTGGAGTAGTTTCTTGTTGCCTTCTCCAAATTTTTGAATTCAGAGTTTTCCTTCTCTTAGGCTGGTTACCACTCAAGTCTACGAAGCCCAGTCTACTAGGATTTATGCCTTTTCCAAGGGAATTACCGCAAAAATGAACACAAAAAAATATACTTTTCTTTTTTCTTTTCCACAAAGCACTCAGTGAAGATCTAACTCACTACAAATATTCAAGTCCAGCTCGTTGGCCATTACATCACAATGAGGCAAACTGTTATTTACTAAGTTTAGTTTTGGCCCGAGGCCATAAGTATGGAACACCCAAGAAGGATCTAACTCGCTAGAATTGTTTGACAAGACAATCTAAATCCTAAAGATTGTCTTGTTTCACAATAGTCATTCCATTTTGTGTATACAACTGTAACAATTATTATGTGACAGAGGTCATAGAAAATATGACTTCTGTCCCAAAATGGTGATTCCATTTTGTGTATGCAAATGTAATGACTATAATGGGACAGAAGTCATGCTTTTTAAAAATAATTTGCATAAAAAAAAAGGAAATTTAATAATGAATAGCATTGAAACAATTTGTAATATCAGGTGGAGAGGAAAAACTGGCTGGTTACATTCAAGGGCTCGAAAACTGAACTCATGATATTCCATCATCACCAAACAGACCCAGGACTTTCACTTGTCATGAACAGGGGGTTTTCCCAGGGAGGGCCCCATGCTTTGAGCACTTAGGGGGTGAGTACCCCCTGTCCTCAAGTGGAACTTGTACATATGAACCATTGCTAAAGAAGCTGGAAAAATGGTCAGTTTCCTGTACCATTCCAGTAAGTACCCAACTCCTCATGCTATTCTCTAACTTTATCCATTTTTGGCCAGATCCAGCCGATAAATGGACAGTAGCTGCCATATATGGGCAGGTGCTGCTCAGACTTTTCTTGTTTTGGTAAAATCAAAAAGCGTCTATAAGGCCGTAGGGGTGATGAATTATTTACCTCAAAAACGAAACCTTGCAAGCCTCAATATTTCCATGTAACATTCCTTAGTTCCACCAGCTCTAACCTTCATGACTAATACTTGCCATGCCACGCCCATTGTAGCAACCCCCCACATTCCCTTCGTATTCGATTGGTGAGATGTAAGTTACACTCTTGCAGATTCTTGCCACAAACAACTACTTTGTGAACTGAATCCCAAGAGAATATTTCCTACAATCTTTACTGCTCAAGTCTAGGGTTAACTGTTATCTTCCTCACATATCTCCATAAACTATACCTCTTACTATGTAATCCTCTACCTCGAGTGGCTTTTGGGCCTTGTACAGGGTGAACATCAGTGTAAAAAAAAAAAAAAAAAAAAGGTAGTCTTGAAATTATCCTTGTGTAGATTCTTTTTTTTTTTTTTTTTTTTTTTTTAAATTTGTATCTAATTGAAATAGATTTTTGGCAATGTTTAATCTTTGACCCTGCAAAAAAAAAAAAGTGTCAAAAAAGACGGTTAATTGCTTGACATCACTATTGAGGTATACACTTTTGGCTTCCTCAGCAATGTTTATTTTAAACTACATCCGCGTCCAGGGTAAGACAATAAACTACGTCCAACAGCAAGGCCTCTGATCAGGAGGCTTTGAGGAGCGTGGAACTACCTCTTAACTGCTGATATTCCCAGGTCCACCATGACCTGGGGTGGTAGCGCCTGTTAGGGTCGCAGATATGGGCAAATAGTTAACCCCGAAACTGAGGTAAAAAGCATTATAAAAGTGTAAAAATAAGTTTTAATACCAGAAATAATTTGTAAAAAAATTATTACCAGAAATAAAATTTTGAAGAAAAAAGAAATTTTTACCAGGAATACGTTTTTGAAAACAAAAAAAAAACTATTACCAGCTATACGTTTTTGGAAAAATAATATTATCAGCTATATATTTTTGAGGAAAAAGGTATTAACAGAAATGGATTTTTGACAAAACAAAAAAATTACCGGAACAAAAAAGTTGTCGGCATTAAATGACCCATTGAGTTTGATATGCCGTAAAACAAAACAAAATTTACAAATATATATATATATATATAATGTCTTGTTTGTTTTCTTTACATCTTCGGTTGGACTCAACTTGAGTCCGCCATTTTCTTGTACTTGGACCTTCTAGCAGGAATAAACAGCACATGTTCCTAATTCAACAACATGCAAACCCACACGGTCCTCTACAAATCCATTTTCATAAGTTTGCGTTTTATTAAAATTCTAATCCTCTCTTTTTAAAACCAGAAACATTGCTGAGGGAGTCAAAAGTGTATGCAAATAATAGCAGTATCAATAGAATATCTGTTTGACATACCGTATTATTTTTATTTATTTATTGGCGAGAACAAAGGTCAGATTAAATGTTCACGCGTTTCTGCGACCTCTTCTTTGAGAACTTCTTTACAAAGATGTTAAAATATTTCTGTGACAGCCCAGTAATCTTTACGCGACCCCTGCTACGTGAAGCTCTGTTTTCAGAAGCCCATACGTTATAAACAAAATCGAACTCACTCCCACTTTTCTCATCCAGAGACCACGTATAATTTTGTTAATATTGATTTTTATATTCGCCTGTGATTTGCTTACGGACGAGTTTCTCATGACTAGATTCGCCCATGTCTGCAAACTCAGCCTACCTTTCTTTTTCTTTTCTCATCTTAGCATCGACCCATATTAATGGTGGCCATTTTCTTTTCTCCTCTAGCGCGGTTTGAGTAGAGGCTGAGTGGCTTGCGCTGTGAAACAAGACATTGTATCTCACCATTTAAAAAAGATTTCTTTGAGAGCGCGAAGCAGGCGACATTTACAGAGCTGACAGTAGACAAAGAGCAGGAAAAGCATTTATATCGTCTGTTTCAATGGATTTGGGGATTCAGCAGTTATTGGAAATAAAGAGAATTGGTCACCATCTGAAGACTGTAGGCGTTGCGATCGAATCAAAGAATGGATTTAGTTGCGTTAGTTTCTTCATTTTCCCTGTTGTATCATTTTTGGTATACACAAGTTTTACTTGGTAAATTATAATCATTGTTTTCGCTATGAAAGAAATTGCTATTAACGTGTCTGGTACAAATTGTATACCTACGAACAGGCCTAGCAAAATCAGGTTGCGCTTGTTAATTTGAATATTTTTAAGACTCGTGAACAATCACGGAAAAATGGATTCGGCGTGCCGGGTTCAAATTCCTGCCAAGTTTGTTACATTCTATTTAACACAAATACGATCGGGGAAAGATATTAATTCTTCTCTTTTCGCCTCCCGGTTGGATTCTCTAACCTTGTTTAGCAATTAATCCTGTTTTTTTTTTTGTTTTGTTTTTTTTTTTTTTATTTTCTTTGTGTGTGTGTGTGTGTGTGTTTGTTTGTTTTTGTGAGTGTTTTTGTTTTTTGTGTGTTTGTTTGTTTTTGTGGTTTTTTTTTTTTTTGTTTTTGTGTGTGTGTTTTTTTGTGTTTTTTTTGTTTTTGTGTGTGTGTTTTTTTATGTTTTGTTTTTTGGGGGTGGGGGAGTAATATAATCTTTCATTCCAATTTTATAAGGTTTTTTATTAAATATACATTAAAAATTTATCAAAAATGTTTAGATAGAGGAGGTGGATTTTTTTTATGTCCTTTCTTTTCGGGTCATGGATTACGGCCGCATCACGTTGAAACAATTTCCCGTACGATCACCGAAGTTAAACGTCGAGCCTGGTCAATACCTAGGTGGGTGACCACCTGGGAACACTAGGTGCTGTAAGCTTGGATGTGTGGGTGGTGTAATCGATAATGGCTCTGAATTCTTCATTGGAGAACTGTTTTCCTACTCATTTTGTTTTGGTTAGATTTACTTACATTTATTATTCTATATTTACTTACTTATCATATCGCAACACTGGTTCACATCCAGTCCCCCAAGTTAAGTAACATTGAACCTGGTCAGTGCCTAGATGGGTTGACTGCTTGGGAATCTCAGGTGCTGTAAGCTTGGATGTTGGGGTGGTGTAATGGATAACGGCTCGGAATTGTTAATCGGAGTTGGGTTCGTTATATTCACTTAAGCGCAATTTCCCTTGGGGAAGGTGCTAATCCACCTCTTCTCTCCTAATCTATGGGTTAATTAGTATGGCTTGTATCACTATTATATCCAGAAATAAAATTGCGTAAAGAATATTTAAATTTTGATATTGAATAACCCATAGAGCTTTATATGGCGCTTAACAAAAACGGCCATGCAAAGCAAACTGAATCCTCTAAGTTTGGCCACGAGTCTTTAATTGTTTTTGATTTTTTTTTTTCTTTTAATATAATTTTTTGATTTCAATTTTGTAAAGCTTTTATAAAATATACATAAAAATTATTTGATAATAATAATTTTTATATCGGTATGTGAGTTGGATTTTTTTTTAATGTCCTGTCCCTTGAGAACGTATCCGGCTATGGCTCTCCACAGATTCTTTTTTCTTAATATCTTGTGAATAACCCTGTGTATTTGGGAACGAAAGGTAAATGGTTTCCTTTAATGTTTTCTATGGTTACGAATTCACAATTTTCCATCTACCGTAAACTTTCTTTAAACTCAACTCAAAAACGATGGATTTGCGGATATATGTTTATATGGACATTTGTTCTTGTTTTGCTATGAGGAACCCGCCCCAAAGCTTGTAAAAGTATTTTTGACACACACACACACACACATATATAATATAATATATATATATATATATATATCCCTCCTAGCCAGTTCAATTCACGATCCAATCGTTCTAACAATTGATACAATCCCCACAAGAACTCATCGTTCGCCTTTCACTTTGAACCGGATTTTCCCTGTGCCATTTCTATAAACACATTTATGGTAATTGTTCGGGTGAGCTCTCCTCTATGGTACCTAGACTTTTTGAATTTAAACGCTGTACTAGATTGGCGGCAAGGTCTCATCAATTTAGAGTTGAAATAGCGAGATGTAACCGTAAGTTCTATGCTTAGTTTCTTCTCTCACACTTCTCACTTGTTAAACTCTCTTCTGGCTTCTTGCATTAAAATTTCTGAAGATCAGTGTCAATCGTTATCTTCTGTCTTGATTCTTCTTTTATTCTCTCTCTTTAATAGTTTTTTTCTTTTTCTCGTATTCTCTCAGGCTCAGTGGCTTTGTTGCCTTACTTCTAGTGAAATGATTAATATATATATAAAAAACATTGTGGCCATAGAAATTAACCTTATATGGTGACTATCGGTTTCATATTTCAACAAATACCAGACCGTATAACAAATTTTAAATTATAAATATAAGGGTGCTGGAAAATTCTCGACGCGAATCACTTTCAATGATGAGAAAACTTATTTCGAATACTGGGTTGGGCCGAGAACATTTTTAGCAACCCCTATGTGTGTAATTTGTAGCTGAGTTTTAATCTGAATTTTTCAGTGTATAACGTTTAATCGATGTGATTAATATTCACCACTGAATTAAGTGCATTGACAAAGAAAGATATTAATATTGGAATTTACATGACGTAGATATATTTCCCTGGATCGACATGATTAATAGTGCAGTGTATGGTTCACTTTAGATAATACCATGATGGGCTTCGCATTTAATGTCCTTCAGAGAAGAGCTGATTTCCAAACCGGGGGGTGAGGATCCGCCATTTACTCAATGTCAGTGGCGGCCTCGACATGAGTGAATGCGATCGGTCCAGATAAGCCCGTGCGTGAAGTTGAGGGATGGGCGACATGACAGGCAGATATATAAATATCTACCCTAGAGAGGAGACAGTCTCTGCTTTCTTACACATCTAAGTGATAATGTACAGCTCATCTTCGGAGAATACCCTGGAGTGTGCCTGTCACACACACAGACACAGAATTCAATAAAATGCAATGTTATGTATATGGCGTGTTTTCATTAGCCTGCCGACAATAATATTACAAAAGGAAAGCATCGGATTACGTGCATTGACAAGGAATGATTATATTGAAAAATAAATATTTTTTGTTTAAAATAAAATAGTCTGTATGCTCTGCTTTGCATCAAAGCATCGCTCTCCGGTTCCTCTGTTTAGGGGTCAAACCACCTTTATGTGGCTCTTGAGATGGGATCAAAGTGCAGAATCTGTCCCGAGGCACAAGTACCGGTTTGGGTCCTTAAGTCATCTTGGTCTGAGATGTGCAGATAGTTTAATGGATATCGGCGAACCGAGAAGGGCATGAATCCATCTTTGCTTCCCGTCACGAGCCATAAGTTAAATAATAGGGTAGACTGTACTCTCTAGCCTTAGGTGGCAGCCAGCCTAAATGAAGAAAACCTCTCAATTCCGAAACTGTCTGGGTAATCGGAAAACTACCGTACTATCTTTCCAAATAATGCATGACAATTCATAAAAAAGGAATCTCATGAAAGAATATAGCATGAATAAAATTTTATCATGGGGGGGGGGGGTATGAGGTGTTTACTAATCTGAAAAGGACATGGCAATTCACAGATAAAAGAAAGAAGGAATTTGTGGGGAGTCATGATCACCCAAGTCCTGAATAGACATGGCATAAAAAATAAGATAATCTATGGAAAACGGGAGCGACGACCTCCTTAGAAAACAAATACAGTAATGGGTTGGTAAAATTAAACCGGTTTTTCTTTTTATTTATATATATATATAAATTCTCCATGATTTTCTCTCATACATTCATACCGGCTCGATACGTATCCAAATGTAAACAAATGACGTCACACATTATGAAATGGACAAATTCCGACAATTATTTTAAGACATATTTTATGTTTATACGTTCTTTTTATAGATACATATCCTCTGTGGCTCAATCGGTAAAAGCACGTCAGGCTATATGACGGTTCCGTATAGGATACAAGTTCGATTCCTGTCGGAAGATATATATATATATATATATATATATATATATATATATATATATATATATATATATATATATATATATATATATATATATATATATATATATATATAATAAATGTGTGTGTATTAGTATAAAATGTCGCCATTTTGATTTTTTTTTTTAAATTTCGCGCATGCGCGTTGTATGTGATTCATTTTGTCAACTGCGCAGTACAATAGTCAGTTGGGCACCGTCTGTGAGAAAAAGAGCATCATGACGTAATTCATTTTACCAGAAATTTGGAAACGGCATGCTGTACTCTTTGGCATTCGCGCCGGAAGCTCCAATACGAATATTTCAGTGTTTGGTGTCAATCTGATGACTACATGGGATTCGAAAAAAGTTGGATGAGTCTAATGGCGATTCCGAAGGTACGGCAGATCGGAAAACTCACTCTGATCGTTCTGATGAGAAAAGAACTTCCGAGTTTGTTGATGAGTACCTCAGACTCAACACTGAGGCCTACATCAACTGCCTTGGGGAGGTAATGCTGCTCTGGGTCAAGAGGGTGGCTTTTGAAAGATCCTATGTCTGACAACAGGACTCTGCACCATGCCACACAAGTAGGAGACTCCAGTGATGGCTGTTATACAATATCTGCGACCACATCATCCCTTACATCTGGATACCTAACTTTCCAGACTGCAACCCCCCCCCTTGATTATTATATGTGTGTGGGGGGGGCAGTTGAGCTAGAAACTAAGAAAACTCCTTGTAACACCAAAGATGAACTGAAGGCAAGGATTATGACAGCATTCACCAACTTAAACAAGGAGACCGCCCAGAAGAGTTGCAGGAGATTCCGAAGTCGCCTGGAAGCCGTGTTCGAAGCCAATGACGATTTTACTGAATAAATTTCCTCTTTAGCATTTCAAAATATATTTTGTGTAATTTTGGTAAATATATTTGTTAAAATGAAATGTCAGTGTTATTCTCATTTTTGCATAATTTAGACGACAATTTATTTACAAAGTCACTCAAAGTAAAGGAGGCCATTTGTGTGTGTGTGTGTGTGTGTGTAGGAGTGAAAGATAACGGTTAACCCTAGTCTTGAACTGGTTAAGATTGTAGTGATCGGAGATACATTCTGTGGGGTGTCGGTTCCAATGGTTTGCGGGAAGAAGCTGCTCGAATGGAACTTACTTGTCACCGATGGAATGTGGGTGGTTTGCTGTTATGTAAGGGTCATGGCGCGTTCTTGCTGTGATGGTTTGCCTTGGCGAGACCAGAGAGTGTAGTTCATCGGGGTACCCTCCGTGGAAGCAGCGGCCGAGCAGCAAGACATGCGCCACATCCCGCCTGTGGGCGAGAGGGTGGAGAAGAACCTCACCCACAAGGGCTCGGAATTTGGACTCCATCAAGACTGGAGAGTGAGGTCCGAGCAGCTTCCGCCCGAATATGACAACAGCACTCCATTCTTGGCCCGATCCGGATCCTGTAAAGGCAGAGTGTGTATGAGCGTGTGTATATATATATATATATATATATATATATATATATAAAATGTGTGTGTGTGTGTCATTCGTAGACAGTACTGTTTCGCTGTATCACAGCTCTTCAGTGCGACTAGACAACCGAATGCCTCAAGTGCGGGTTGAAACCCAACCGATTTGGTGTCAGATTCTCTCCCACTGAACTATCTTCACTCGACAGTCAGCCAAATCTAGCGTATTGTTTTTACAAATGTAAACAAACTCCCATATATATATATATATATATATATATATAAAGCGTAGCTTAGATGTGGCCGAAAGTGTGGAGCACCCAGTGAGGATCGTAATTGATCTAACGAAACAAATCTGCTAACCGCTACACCATGTCGAAGTGCTATATATATATATATATC